GAAGAATCTTAACTCTTCAAGCCTTGGGTTACTGCCGACTGCCATGGCACAGAGAAAGACACATCCTACAGAGCAGCTCCACAGTAACACCAGAACTGAAAGACGGTCTAGGAACTACCCAGGCAATGGCTTTTGACTTTTTCTGACTGTGGCCGATAGCAACAGAACCCACTAAGCAGACAGGCAGGCAGGCAGGCAGGCAGGCAGGCAGGCGAGTGCGCACACACGTGCGCACGCGCGCACACACACACACATACACACACACACACACACACACACACACACACACACACACGAAACAAAAGCCTCCCAAATCCACACTTACCATGTGCAACACATTTTGATTTTAAAAACTGATGGTGCTGACCTGCTAAACTGGCTTCCTGAAACACTTACAGCTTTGGGAGACAGATAAGGGACTATGATTCAGGGATATAAGACAATGACCCTGTTAGTTTAGTTAGTGGCAAAGCAGAGACACACCCCTAGTACCCAACTAATTGTTGGTTTGACATGAAACAGCTGTCACCTATACACAATCCTCGACAGCAAGCTCCCCCGCCAGCCCTAAGAAACCCAGGAAGATGATCCACATGTGACCTAAGCTATCTTACACGAGTACAGTGTCCAGGGCTGTCAGGGCCACCTCAAGACTGCGTAAAGAGGAACTCATACCTAACAGAGACCTTGAACCGACCTCAATAGGAGAACACGTGACGTTTTTGTCTAGACTGCCGAGAGACAAGACCAACCCCAATGCATGAATAGGAGCAGGTTAGCTTCAAGCTTAAAGAGTATTCCCACTTGGATTCTGGTGCTGTTTAGCGAGGAGCACAAGGCTGAATGATGTCTTTATTAATATGTATCAAGTTCTAACTCCTAGATTGTATCACACCAGGTATAGTCGGGGAAGCTCACATGCCCCCCCCCCCCCACACACACACACATACCCCGTTAACAGGCACTCTTCCAATCCAGGAGATGGTAAGGGCTGTGTCAATGAGGTGAGACCTCAGTCGTGCTTGGAGAACAGCAGACATATTTTAACATCGAGTGTTAACGGGCGGATGAAATAAAAGAGTGGTGACGGGTGGAAGGCGGACTACAAACCTGGATCCCTGTTCAGTAGTCAAGGCAAAGACCTAGATGGTGGTAACCGTCAAAAGGAGACAGGTAGAAGAAACAGACAGAGGTCACAGTGGGTCCTGGAAGTTAACAAGTATTCATTTAAATAATGAAGAGTCCTATTCATTTACCCTTGCTTCCCACATGACAAAATGTAAGCTCAACAGCAGTTTAGTTACTGTAACTATCTGCTCTTCCTATGTTTACTTTCTGCAACTTAGTCCTTACCAGTTACAATTCTCTCGAAACATTGTACATAAGTGCTTCAGAACTGAGGGTTCTCTCCACACCGACAACAATGCAAAATTCAACAAATAAAAGGCACCACCACAGTGCAAGAAGAACTTTACTAAAACGAAGCGCCGAGAAAGCTCACACAATTAGAGAAAGCTCACACAATTAGAGAAAGCTCACACAATTAGAGAAAGCTCACACAATTAGCCCCTTCAGCCCTAGCATTTGTGGTTGTTGTTGAAAGTCTATGTTTATAAGCTATCATGCTGCAGTTTTAAAGAGTCAGCTTGGGTAGCAGGGTAGTGACTTTCCAGACAACAAAAGCATCTGCTTGTCTGCCTACTGTGTGGTAACCCAGATGCATCAGAGGACAGTGAGGAGTCATTTGGCTTCTGGGCTTTGCTCAGGAAGAGGGTAAACCTATTCACACAGATCTCGGAGCATCAAGATCCCCATGACACAAGGTGACAACACTCATATGTGTTACCTAGTAGGCTAAATACTTTCTAAATATTAAATGTGCTCGTCAGTGTACATATCATCCGGATGGATTTCTTCCACCATCATTTAAAATTAACCAATGGCTGTCTGACCTCACATGAGACAGACATTTTAAAAAATGGTAAAATAACCCACACTTTAGTGCTTTAGTCTACAACTGTCAGACAGCCTAAAGTGGAATTTGTGGCCAGCCCCTTGGAAGTGGGTGAGATTTTATGGTGTTGTTTACTAATTTCAATAGTTTCCCCGTTGCTGTCTCGTGTACCTTCACGTCCCTTTGTCTAATCCTCTTTTATTTCATCTATTTTTATCTATATCTCAGCAGCCTCCCTTAACCCCCTCTCCCCGCTGGAAGGTGAGCTACGCACAAATAAACCACACCACACACAGCTGCCAGAAGCTTTTTGGCAAAGGCATACGTAACTGAAATGAGCTCCCGAATATCAGGCCCAGGCACCGTGACAGGATGCTCGGCTGATGTTTAATAACGAAGGCCTGGCACCAGGCTGAGAGCCTCCCCACTTTGACAATATCGATGGGACATAAACATTGTACCGCTTTAAACTAGAGAGAGCAGAGCCATTTAAAGATGAGAAGACACAAGAGCACACGGTGAACAGCGGGGAGCAGATGACGGCAGACGCCCAGGCTGGGGAAGGATGGAGGACTTCCAGAAGACCATGCAGGACTGTGTTAAGCTTAACAAAATGGTCTCCATTGATGTTTACTGGGCAACATGGAAAGCTGTGCTCTGAGAGGATCTATTCAATTTTCTTTAAATATTCTTTTGAAAAGGCAGGCTACACACTGCACTGTAACAACTCCCAGAGTTCATCAGAAAGAGCGGCACACCCGAAGTCATTACGACAGATTTCCAAAGGAAACTTTAGATCCCCCAGTTTCCGTGTCCCACACTGCCAGAGGACAGCCACTAGAGAGCTGAGCCTGGAATCCAAGCTGTCACTAAGAGCTTCACCCCTTCTACGTGATATACTTTCACTGTCAACTGATTCCTCAGCTTCATTTGCTCCTGCGAAATGAGGAATTCTCAGTTCCACCTGTTATCCACGAATTCTCTAACAGTCTGAGCACATTATACTGTGGCCGTGACAGCTACCTAAGCAGGAGGACCCAGTTCAGCCCGGAATAGAAGGCTGAGGGAAAGCCGGAAACGCCATGCCCGTGATTTAAAACCCTTGAAACATGCAATGCTGCTAACTCTTTCCTTAAATGCTCTAGCTCCACCTGGATTGTCCAGAATGGAATTAACCAGACCCACTGAGGTTCCTAAACAATTCACGACACTCCACTGGTTTTCTTCACTACCAAGCCAAATGGACCCTCTGAGTAAACACTCCCTAAACCCAATACAAAGGAAAAAGTCCCAGAAGCTGATTTGTTATCTCGTGACTCTGGTTTTCAACTAACAAATGATTTACCTATACACACAGAGAGACCAGGAAAAAGCACTGTGTGCTGCTTGGTGGTTTTGTTTATTGGATTTCTGAACAATAGTTTCTGTGCACACAGATTCTGGGGGGAGCCTGTGCAATCACTGTCCATTTTACCACAAAACTGGTTGGGAGCACAGTTATAAACTGCGAGTTTGGCCTCCCTGAGAGGAGAAACACAGCCAATTCAGCCAAGGTAAGCGGCACTCTGGAGATCCGAGAACCTTCCTGGTTGTTTACCGGGTCCACTTTCCTCATTAGGTACCTCGGGTTCGCCAAAAGAAATCAAATCAAGCATCGGTGGGCCAAGTAGGAAGATGAGAGAGACAAAAAGACAATGCGCAAGACTCGGAAATGTGTTCTGATGTTCGATCCTAGCTATGGGTTTTGACAATGGTTAAGTGCTACCTCTAAGCTGTGCAAACCACGGAAAAATCCAAAGGCCAAGAGAGGCACTTGGGGTGGGCTACACGGGTGGTCGTGAAGAAAAACATCTGTCATCGTCTGTGCCCCCCTCGCCCCCGTATCCGCGTTGCAGGTAAGCCAGGCTCTCTGTAAGTTCTCCCACACCTTCCCTCTCAACTTTCCTTGTGCGCATGGAAAACAAAGCAAGCGGCCTTCACCGTACTCCGGTGCACTTGGCTTGCACCGCGGGGAACCGGGCGGGCGAGGGGCGCGGGCCCGCGGCCAGAAAGGGAGCGCAGCAGCAGCAGCAGCAGCAGCAGCAGCAGCAGCAGCAGCAGCAGCAGCAGCAGCAGCAGCAGCAGCAGCAGCAGCAGCAGCAGCAGCAGCAGCAGCAGCAGCAGAGCAGGAGCAGAGCAGGAGCTCGCCCCCCGCCCGCGCGCCCCCGCCGCGCTGCACATAAACACGCGCGCTCCAGAAACGCGCGCCAACGCCCGGCCCCGCGCGCTCCCCAGCTCACGTAAACACAGCCCGTTTCCCACGAGCCCGCGTGTCTCACACCTGCTCTGCGCACGCTCACCCAAACACACGCCCTCCTGTAAACACCGGCCTCGCACCCACGATCGCTCCAGGAACACGG